CCCCCAGGCGGGCCCCAAGAGAGGAACCCCAAGCCGGCTTCAATATGCACGTAACCTTGTTCTTCCATTGGTTTTTGATTCACTTTTATTTGCTTGCCAGTTCGGGCTCCCCAAAAAACCGAAACGGCCCGAGAGGCACCCAAGACGGGCCCGAAACCGCCCAAGAGGCCCCGAAGACGGCCCCAAGACGGATCAAAGAGGGTCCAAAAGAGTGCCAAGAGGGGAACCTCGCAAGGACCCCTGAATCATGCAGGCAGTACGACGGGAAATGGCGAACAACACATACGAAATTCTCATCTCCCTTTTTTGAGTAGGCTTAGGTCGTGCATGACCCCTCTGCAGGCGGATCTTGGACGAAATCAAAAATACCCCCCAAATGCTCAAACAATACCCACAAACACCAACAAACATCGTCCCTGGACTATCTGTCGCTCAAATTGGACAGGCCCGACTTAAGAGTCGGCGGAATGGCGGACAAAAATGGAATCAGCATCGATGTAATTCAAACATTTGGCTGTCCCCCTCCCCCTTTCCCCCCCCCCCCCCAGGGTCCAACATCGCGTTGGAGGGGGGGGCGAACCGGGGCTCCCTCCCCCAGCGCACACCTGGGGCCTCTCGAGGGTGCAAATCCACCCTCCAGGGCCGCCAAGATCCCAAGATGCTGCCTAAGATGGCCCCAGAATAGCTGAGCGCTGGAGAGGCCTCAAGGATACCCAAAATTCGCCGGCCCAACGGGCCAGAGGCGTGCTCTAGTTCGCGCGCGCGGGGCGGCCCCTGGGGGTCCCCGGACGAAAAGAACCCCGGGCGACTCCCGGCTGATCCTCGGGCGACTCCACCAGAGCGCTCCATGAGCGCACCAACAGGGCTCCGAGACGTCCCCGAGAGCCCCAAGCAAGGCCAAGAGGCCCCCAAGAGGCCCCCAAGATGGTACACGAGGGGTCCGACATGCCACAAGATCGCTCCAAGACGCACAAGATAGCCCCCAGACGCTCCAAGAGGCCTCCAAGAGCACTCCCAAGAGGGCCCCAAGAGGCAAAATTCATTGTTTTTCCTTAGGTTTTTGAAACATTTTGGAGCTTCCACCTTTTCGGCTTCCCGACGCCCCAAGACGGCCCAAGAGGCCCCCAAGATCGCCCCAAGAGGGCCCAAGAGGCCCCCAAGAGGGCCCCAAGATGGCCCAAGAGGGCTCGAAGACGGCCCAAGAAGCCTCCAAGACGGTCCAAGAGGGCCCCAAGAACGCCCCCAAAGGGGCCCCAGAGAGGGAACACGAAACAACAATTCGAGCCCTCGGCCCTAAGAAGCCCCTACGAGGCCACTAAGAGGCCCCAAGAGGCCCCCACGGGGCCCTCAGGAGGCCCCCAAGAGTCCCCCAAGCGGCCCCAGGAGGCCCCCCAAATGCCCCCCCGAGCACGCAAGCAAGTGCAAGCGATGCTACAATGTGCTCTCCTTTCGGTAGACTCCCAACGGGGCCCCTACAGACTTGCAACAAGCGTCAAGAACCTACCCAAAAAGCACTGTCCAGGAGCGTTCACAAGTGCCGCGAAGAAGCCCTCCTTACGCCGGAAAGCCCGGAAAGCCGGGTGGGGTGAGCTGTTCTTCTCACCACCGCGCCCTCTCACACAATGGCTTCCGCACGCCGCCCAGAGCGCGATGCCTCCCAGACTGTATGGGCCGGCGGAATGAGCGAAGCGATTAAATAATGTCAAGACGGCTGGAGACGCCGAAAGAAAGCCCCAAGAGGACCTCCCCAAAGGGCCTCAAGAGGCCACACGCATGTTTCCCCCTTCAGTTTTGCATGATTTTTGCGTTCACGATTCTCTGGCGTCTGCACGCTCAAGGCGGCCCACGAGGCCCCCCAAACTGGCCCAAGCCAGCCCAAGAGACCCTCAAAACGGCCCCGAGACGGCTAAGGAGGGCCCCAAGACGGCCCAAGAGGCCCACAAGACGGCCAAGACACACCTCAATGTGGCCCCAAGAAAAGCCCCAGGAGAGGCAATACCCCCAGAGGCCCCCACACAGCCCCCAAGAGGCCGCTACGTGGGCCGCCAGCAGGTCCCGAAGATGCCCGCATAAGCTCCACGAGGCTTCAAAACTGTTCAAATGAGACCCCCGAAAGCTCCCGAGAATCCCCCCAAACACCCCTCCAACTCCACGAAGGGGCCTCAAACAGAGCCCGGACAACATTACAAACCGTCCCGTTGTCCTCGATCTCCTCCTCCTTTCCTGCCTTCATGCTCCGACTCCCAAGATGAAAGATTATGTCGACCATCCGCGACGTCACTCTGGGAGCATCTCGCTTCACGTGCGACGCGCAACATATTTCAATGCTCCCTCCCGAGAAGTGCAGGATGAGTGACCCCATGCGCGAAGTAGCGACTGCGCGGCAGCCACGGCTCTCACGCACCCCGACATTTGAAGGCATCCCATGCGCGCGACGGCGTCCAAGAAACAGCCAGCCAGCAAACGCCCAGGAAACTCTGACGAGGCTTGAAGACGCCCGCCAACACGCCTATCAGGCCTCAGTTCGTCTGGGGGGCGGCGGAATGGCTTAAGATTTATGACTCAACACCGATGTACTTTAATCCAATACGTTGCAACGCAACGCAAAGCAAAGCAACCACGGCTGACCAAGCACTGGAACACAACATCGAACGAATTAATGTACCCAATCACGAAGCGAACCCATGTCGTCACATGTGACAGCTGGTTCCGTCTGTGTTTCCCATCTTTCACCTTGTTCGGAGCAACACCTTGTTCTGTTCCTTAGAGATCGTCGGCTTTGTCTGGCTTGCAGGCGGTTTGCGAGCACGCAACTGTTGGCAGTCCGCATCGGTCTACTTCTCCTCCTCAACCTTCTCGTCGTCGTCGTCGTCGTCGTCGTCGTCGTCGTCGTCGTCGTCCTCTTCCTCCTTCTCCCTGCGGCCCCCCTGCCCGTCTTGTGCGCATCGAACGGCGCAACCGCGGCCGCGGACAGGTCGAAAAGGGCAGCGCAGCCCGGCTGGTGCTGCCGGTGTAGCTGCCAGATCCCAACGCCGCCACCGGGGTCGGCGGCACCAGCAGCGTGCTGTGCCTTCGAGGAGGCACCCAAAGCACAGAACGCAGAGCATCGGCTTTTCTTACAGATATTGGCACCCACTCGGGTCCTTGTGCTCCGCTGCTTCTCCCGCTGGCTCCCGTGCCAGTCCCTGGCGTATCCCGACATCCAGGCATTCGCATGTCATGTGTGTCTGTTTTGTGGAAGTAGAGGGAGGAGCGTGGGAATACATACAAGAAGAAACAATAGTGGGGGGCACAACAAGAAGTGAGCAAGGTATATGGACGGCGACAAATCGACCATGAACTAATCTCTCCCCTCCTCCCTCTACCCCCTCTCTCCCTTTCCTTATTCGTCATTAGTATAGAACGCCAATGGATCGACGCGAAAAGTCGTTCTGAAAATGGCGCTTCCGCCTCGGCGCAGCGCATGTGCCACTGGCCCTCTTGGCGAAGGTAGTCTAACGATGTCTTTCTGTCCTCTTCCGAAACCCTCTTCCCTTCGGGAAGGGGGTGCCCTCCCCTCACCTCCCTGCTTTTTTTTTGGGGTGGGTGGGGGTGGGGTGGGGTCAAGCTAGCCAGCTCGAGCGAGTCAAGCATGGCATGCCCATTCCCACCCGCCCTCCCACAACATAAGAAACAGTGATGGCACAACGGACAGGCTGCTATCTTCCCCCTCGCCGTACCCCTAAACCCCCCAAATCCGTTCTGAAGGAAGCCTTCGGACTCCTCCCGGGTCCAAACGCACAACTTTTTCGAGTCGCGTCCAGCCGTGACTTAGAGGAGGACCCCGAGGGCCAGAAAGTCTCGAACACCGATTCTCGAGGCAACGGACAGGCTGCTGTCTTCCCCCTCGCCGCACCCCCAAACCCAGATCCGGTCCGAAGGAAGCCTTCGGACCCCTCCCGGGTCCAAACGCACCATTTTTTCGAGTCGCGTCCAGCCGTGACTTAGAAGAGGACCCCGAGGGCCAGAAAGACTCGAACACCGATGCTCGAGGCGCAAAGTTCGATCCTCGACGAGAAGATTTTCTCCGTGCTGGCGTTTTTCCGTCGACTTCGCACGTTTTTCCCTCGACTTCGCCCTCCAGGGAACGGTTTCTGGCCCCCCGGACCAATAAGAAAATATCCAGGACGCAAAACTGCTCCCGAGAAAGGGGTCGAGATCTCAGAAAGGCTTGGGACAAATTCGCTGGCCCAATGGGCCAGAGGCGTGCAAAAATCTCCGGTAACTAGTCAACAATCTTCTAGTTCGCGCGCGCGGGGCGACCCCTGGGGGCCCCGGGACGAAAAGTGCCCCGAGCAGGTCCCGGGCCAGCTCAACGGGCCAGAGGCGTGCTAAGATCTCCGGTAACTAGTTAACAGTCTTCTAGTTTGCGCGCGCGAGGCGGCCCCCGGGGGCCCCCGGACGAAAAGAACCCCGAGCAGGTCCTGGGCACGTCGGTCCCAGTGATGGTTTTCTTCTTCGGCGCTGACTTCCGGGTCCCAGAGCGCCCCAGGAACGCCCCAAGAGAGCCGAGACGCCCCCGAGACGATCCGAGGGGCCCTGAGTCGCCGAAAGATCGTTCCAAGACGCCCAAGATGGCCTCCAGACGGCCGAAGACGCCGCCAAGAAACCGCGGGGAGCCTCAGGAGGCCCTCCAAGAGCCTCAACAAGCAAAAACCTCCCAGGCATTCGTCACCCCATGGCCTCCTGGAACGCCCCGGCGCCCAATGAATTGGCGAGCTAAAAACGTGCGCCGAGCCAAAGCGGGAGCGCAACTTTGAGAAAATTTCGCTCGGCGCCCAAGCGGGAAGGTCATTTCATCCACTTCGAGCGGGGGGGGTGTGCCGCGCCCAATTCTTGCCATGCACTTTTGCGGGGTGGCCGACAAGAACAGCTATGTGGGCAAGGAAAATCAGCATGGCATTGTTTCTGACAGCCTCCCGCCTGGGGGTTGCTCCAGAAGTCCGCGCGCGCTGTGCGCCGCGCCCCATTCTTGCCCCGCATTTCGCATCGTCGAGGACAAGACAAGCCATGATGAAAGGAAAAACGGTAACTCGGTATTGTTGTTTTACAGTCAGGATGGGAGGGCCCGCAGCCCGCATGGACGTCCGCGCGCGATGTGCGCCGCGTCCCGATTCCTGCCACATATTTCGCACCGTCGGCGACAAGGGAGGCCATCTGAGAGGAAAAACCGGAGACTTGGTATTGATTTTTTACAATCAGGATGGGCGGGCCCGGATTGACGGCCGCGCGCGAGGTGCGCCGCGTCCCATATGTGCGCCGCGTCTCATTGCTGCCACATATTTCGCACCGTCGGCGACAAGGCAGGCCATGCTGAGATGAAAAAACGAAAACTTTGTATTGATTTTTTACAGTAAGGATGGGCGGGCCCAGATTGACTGCCGCGCGCGATGTGCGCCGCGTCCCATTCCTGCCACGCTTTTCGCATCGTCGACGACAAGAAAGACGATGTTGAGAAGAAGAACGGCCACTTTGTATTGATTTTTTACAGTCCAGATGGGAGGTCCCGGATTGGGCCGCTATCGGCCGGAATGCGAGGTAGGTGGGGGTATATTCTAATAAGGAACACGGATGGGTGCGGGGGGCTAAAGCGTCGAAGGTGGCCCAAGAAGCTTGAAGTGGTAGCTTCAAAACATAGCTGTATTAAACGAAATGAGCGGTACAAGGATGTCGGGAAGCTGGATGGTGATGCAGGATCAACGGGCACTCTTTTCTCCTACGCCGCCGCATATTATGTGCCGGCAGCGCCGCCGACACAGGAAAGTATACGTCCCCACCCTGGGACGTCCCCTTGAAGCCAAGGTGGGGGGAAACGAAGCTTGCCCGCTGCTGTCGCTAGGCATGCCCAAGGCTCCTGCAAAGGAACAGGCAGCCGATTAACACGGCTGCCACATCTGCAGTGAAGCAATGGCCAGGCAAAGCGAGAGTGCGGAGTGGCGGGTCGTGGTTCCACGACCCGGTGAACTCAGCGCCTAAATTTATCAGAGCAGCAGTAAGCTAAGCAAGTGCAATTAGTGCTAGGCCAGCCAGAAGGTGGTCCAGAAAACTTTGCAAAACACCGATGGGGCTGATCTCGCATCAGCAGAAGGATTGTTAGCCTCGCGTGCCCACGAAGCTAAAGCTACGCAGAAAGATAGCTACTCGGCAAAAGGCTGGCCAAAACAAAACATTGAGACACGCTCCCTTCCGGGCCGCTGTGTTTCCACGACTTAAAACAAGCAAGAGGAACGCGGGCACGCGCTCGCTCTGGGCCGCCGCGCCTCCGCCGCCTCCTCAGTCTCTGCTGGTTCCTCCTCGCTCTCCTTCGTCTCCTCCGTCACCTCCTCCTCCGCTTCCTCCTCTCTCCTCCTCCTCCTCCTCCTCCTCCTCCTCCTCCTCCTCCTCCTCCTCCTCCTCCTCCTCCTCCTCCTCCTCCTCCTCCTCCTCCTCCCCCCCCTCCTCCTCCTCCTCGGCGCTCCCTCGCCGCCGTCTCCCGCCGAACCCCCTCAGCGCCCGCCGCCGGCAGCCGCGGGCCAGTGGGAGGCCAGGCTCTGCTCGGCCACCCCGCTTTGAAAAGTGGCCGACAATTCTTGCCGAAACGTCGCTGCGTCTGCGCTGGCGTCGGCCTCGCCGCCCCGGCGGTCCAGCCTGTCCAGGATCAGCCGTCTGGCGGCTTCGTCCACACGGCCCCCCCTCTCCGCTGCACCAGGTGTCAGCAAGGGCGTTGTGGGCCCCAGCGGCTACCGCAACTGCTTGCCGCGCGCCGCGCCCTCGGCCGCCAGGCCCGCGTGGGCTGCCCTGGCTCGCTCCTCGCGCGGCTCGGTGGAGTCAGGGCTCGTGACCACCGTGTCCACGACGTGCCACGAGCCCTTGTCGCACCGCTGAACGTCCAGCCCCGCCAGCTCCGCGCGCTCCTGGCCCGCGGCAGGGTCCTGGGGCCGGTGGAGCCACTGCGGCACCGCCTGCTCGGTGCGCCCGGGGCCAGGAACCCGCGTGGCCAGCCAGCGTGACAACAGATCGCGGATCCTGTCGTGCCGACCAGTGCGGATGGGCCCCGTTTCGCACGCGATGGCGTGGTGCTGATCGGGCTCAAGCATCGCTCCACAAACGGCCCCGTCGCGGGCCCTCTTCCTCCTCCTCCTGCTTTTTGTTACCGTGCGTCCTCGTTGTCCTCCTCATCCTGCTCCTCCTTCTCTCCTCCTCTTGCGCCTCCTCCTTTTACTGCTCTACCAATTTTCCACCTCTTCGTCCTCCTCCTATGCGTCTCTTCGTCTTCTTCCTCATTCTTCCCACTTCCTTCTCCTATAACGCTTTCCTTCACCCTCATCATATTGTTGCCGTTCTCCTTGTGCCCTTACCCTTCTCCGCAGCCCCTCGGAGGACCAGGGTCGTATGTGCCCCCTCCTCTTGGCCATGCGCATTGGAAGAGGTTGCCATGGAGTGGGGACTGCAAGACCTCTCGACCTTAGTCACATCATGGGTGGAACCTTCCCCGCGCGTGCCGCAGCATGTGCAATTCGGCGGCTGCTAACTTGAGGCAGCGCCCGAGAGCGCGGTCTCCAGCATCACTGTACGCGTGTAGGAAAGGGGGGGTCAAAAGACACCGTCTGAGTGATCATGGAGGAGCGGCGACCACGGGACAGCCGCGAAGTGTGCGAGAAAGACTCGACGAAGGCAGTGGGCGGGAGCAACGCGGTGACGGAGAGGCGCAGCGAGAGGCGGTATTCCGTGGGGCATCGAGGTGAAAAGGAAGACCGAGGAGACGAAGGTGAGACGCCGGAAGGGGCGGGGGGCGACGACGTCGGCGACGACGGGGTCGAGAATACGACCGGGCAGCTGCGTGCAGCTCGCCCGAGCCAGGGCTGGGCGTGCCTCGAGCATCCCAAGCCGCCCCGCGAAGAGCTGCGCCGGCGGCTCGGGCTCCGCAGACCAAGGCAGCCGCTGCGGGGAGCGCGGCCTCGAGGCGCTGCCGGGCACGAGCTGCTCCAGCAGGTCTAGGCGCTCGCCTGATCGGGCGCGCCGAGGAAGGGGGCCAGGAGGAGGGGGGGGGGTCAGGGCATCGTGGCCCGAGGCGCAGGTACGCGGACGAGGGAGGGGGCCAGGGGACGTGTTGGAAAGAAGGGGAGGTAGCCACGAAACCTTCCGGAGCTCACAGCGCTGGCCATGATGTCCACGCACCCCCCTCATGCACGCCCCCTCCCCCTCCTCCTGCTTCTCCTGCTTCTCACGCTTCTCCTGCTTCTCCTCCTCTTCCTCCTCCACCGTCCCCCTTGTCATGCTCCTCCTCCCTCCCCCCTCTTCCCTTCCTCCTCCTCCTCCTCCTCCTCCTCCTCCTTGTTTGCCTTCGCGGGTCGCGCCGCAGGGGCAGACCGGTGCAAACCATGCCGCGCAGAGGCGGTCGGAGTTCTTCTGTCCACGCCTAGAGTGTGCCGAAGGGGCGTGCACAGGGACGCAGGCGCAGAGAGGAGGCGCTCAAGAGCGCTCGCGGGGACGCTCGGCCCAAGGGCAACGGGGGACGAACCCGGGGGGGGAGGGAAAGGGCGAAGCCAAGAGCGGGACGAAACCGAAGCGGAGCAGGGACAAGGAAGGATGAGCCAACCGGCGGGGAAGAAAGAGCGGGAGCGAAAGGAACAACTTCCTCCTCCTCCTTCTCCTCCTCCTCTTCCTCGTCATCCTCCTCGTCGTCCTCCTCCTCGTTGTCGTCCTCCTCCTCCCCCTCCTCCTCCTCCTCCAACTCCTCCTCCACCTCCTCATCCTCCTCCTCCTCCTCTTCTCCTTCTTCTTCTTCTTCCTCCTCCTCCTCCTCCTCGCCTCCTCCTCCTCCGCCTCCTCCTTTGTGATTGATGATACGTTTTCAAGCCAAGGCAAAAGGGGGCCCTAAGAGCCAAGCGGCGGCGAGTGGCGTACGAGCGTGTCACACACACTATATATCACACCCGTGAAACTTTGTCACGAGCTAGCCGGTTGGCAGCCACTCTTAGGGGCTAGTGAAAGGGCGTCTCCAAACGAGACGCAGCGTAAGGCGGCCAGGGTGGCGACAGTAACATCACTTCCCCGTCGGGATAGTGTTCACTCTGGCTCTAGCCAGCTGTTTCTTCGCTTTCTTGATCGTTGACTCCGGGTCCGGGGTAATATCGTAAGTACCAGTGGTCAATCTGTTAACAAGGGAATCATGTGGCATAGCTTTAGTGAGGCAATCTACGGCCATGGCACTCGTATCGATCCAACGGATCTTATCGCAGAACATCTTCGGGTGCAAGATTTCTACCTCTTCATCACCTCGTGTCCAAATGTCCTGACGGAGACTGCTCAGGTCAATACTCAAGCGTTTCTCCTCCGTCTTTCCCATAGTAGGCGCTGTAAGGTGCTCTTCCAAACTCTTACAATCTGTCATCCAAAGATGTCTCATCGTCATGGCTGAAATCTCTTCCCAGTCTGAAGGGAGTTTATTAGCTACCCCAAGCATGCCTCTCGCATCAGCGATGGCATCACGTATACGCACACCTGATTCTACACCCCAGAGACAAGCCAACGTCTCTGCTTGTAAAGTGGATTTGCACACACGCCTAATAACCTTGCTCGAAAAACATTTAGGGTGGACGTAATCACTGTTCCCCTCGACAAATCCCGGCCCTGCAAGTCCGTTGAACCTGGCCCTCTGGGATCTGAGCGGCTCCAAGTTGCCTCTTACAACATCGTCTTCTCCAGCCCAGCTGGCATCCGTAACGGTAAGAACGATCATGTCCTTGTCCCACAGCACGGCACCACCTTTAAACACAAGTCCGCTGTCCGACGTCTGTACTGCTTCTTCCAAAGCGCGGTTGGCCTCCTTATGGTGCAATACCTTCGCATGGGTCACTGCCGTTTGTAGTCGACTCACGCGGTAGAGGAGCTCGGGCTTGCATTGCCGACAAACCCAAGACAAGGCACCTACAAATGACCTAAGTTGGGATGTCTCTCCTTCGTTACAGCGCCTGGTGAGGGGGCTGTCCCTGGGATAGGATACAGCTTCTATCTTTTCGATGTTGTCCTTGGCCATGACGTGGACGGTATAGTCTTGTTCTGGAGCAATTTCTAACCCGCAGTAGCGGAAATCTCCTGACTTGACCTCTCTGACGTCGAACTCTGCCAGCACGGAGTCAATAATCCTCTGGCTCTCGTTGTCTGCGGCCCATAGTATGTCGTGCACATGTGTGCCTATCATACACGTAATCTCGTTCTTATCATTAGATGAACTGAAATGGGCTGGCATGATACGGTTCTCTCTTAATCCGTGAACTTTAAAACGTTGTCGGATCTTCTTCCATAAACCTCTCCCAGCGTCACGCGTTCCATAAACAGGCATACGAGCTATAAGCGCCCCACCATCCGGTACTCCTTCGAGCCCGTCGGGAGGTGGTTTTAATAACATGAGACGGTCGAGTTCTTGACCCTGAAAATAGGCTGAAGTGATATCAGCGCATTTCAATGCCTTCTTCGTGCCTGCGGCCCACGATATTATCAGCCTTAAGCCTTCTAGCTCACATGTTGGTGAGTCCGTGCGGATGCCGAGAGATTCCTCGAGGTCTCCTCGTACCACAAGTCTGCTTTTGTATTGTGGCGCAACCGGTGGTCCACCCGGTCTGCGTAAATAAATGTTCGTTTTTATCTACCTCAATCCATTGCGTGGGAACCATACGATATCCCTCGTCGAGGAGCTTCTGCAGTTCTGAGGAATCAATGGTTACGGCAGCATTGAACCTTCGCCATTTTCCCCACTCGTCTTGTCTTGCGAGACGCAGTCCGCTCTTAACTTCCTCCGATTCCTTATGGAATGTAAGGTTCTTAGCGCTCTTCAGCTTCTTTCGAGATTGAGGCTTACTGATGGCTCGCTCATTGAAAAAACCAACAAGTGACTCGTGTGATTTGACTGCCGCGGACGCAGTCCTCCTCTGGAGTAGATCTACGCCTGATCCTGTAGTCCCCGTTCTCTGCCATGCCTCGAGCAGCGGGTTCGCTGGCTCGGGTGCTGGTTCTGACACTGAGGCGGATCTCCTTTCTGAGGATGATCCTCCTGTGTCCAATCTCCTTCGCATCACTTCGCCGCGACCACGTAGGTCGTGCGGCACATCATCTAGCAAAGATCTCTGCAACGGGGTGCGCGGCGGTCTAGGCTCAGGTTGTTCGGCAGGGGAATCTTCAGCTTCTCCCTCGCCTCCGTCACTCATGTTCCCACCTGGTGCTACAGGTTGAGACTCTTCCATCGGCTCTGGCATCTCTAATTCCGGCTCCTCATGGATGACTGGGAGTACGTCCTCTTGAGGTGCTCCAGGCTGGCCTGCACCAGGTAACTCTCTTCGTTCGTCGACAAACGACTGCTGCTGACCTTCAGGAGGAGCGTATCGTTCCATACCTCCATCCTGGTGCCGGGAAAGATATTGATATGCCAGAGCTTCAGCCGCTGTGCACGGTCTGAGCCTGTCAACCGCAACACACACCGGAACCCCCTCGGTGATGACCCATGCGTTCTTGCCGTCGAACCCTACGATCCTCGATCCAGTGCTCCATTTTGCAGTAACTTCTCCGTCGGTGGGCCTTTTGCGAAAGCACACCACATCTCCGACCTGGTACTCGCCCGCCAGAGGGGCTGCTTTACGAAGCATAGCACGCGCGGTCCTGCTACCAACGTCGTGCTCGGCGAATGCTTTCCTGGCAGTGGCACGGATTGCAGATTGACGTGAGAACTCATCAGACCCATCTTCAGCCACGTTAGCCAATACACCCAGGTCGTAAGCTTCTTCGTCGTCGAACTGACTCCCCGGCACACGGGGCAGCCGACCGAGTACCCACTGAGACGGCGAAAAACCGCCAACTCGGGACATCTCGTTCTTGGTGCTGTCGACCTCTACGGCTGTCGTCATAACTTCGTCGAGGCCAATAACGTTCTTGTCGTGAACCACTTTCTTAAACACGTTTTTCCATAGTCCGCCGTGTCTTTCGGTGCGTCCGATCTGCTCCGGGGATTCGACTCCTGCGTCGCGGAGATCGATCCCTTGGCTCTTAACCCACTGTAAGAAGACACCTCTGTTACGTAACCCTCGATCCAACACGATCCTTTTAGGCTTTCCTGCCCAAGCACATCAGTGCTGCTGGAGAGCTGTGAGGCATGTCCGCGAAGACGGCATTCCACCACCTAGTCGAACGAATATGACCCGCTGGAACGTAGTTCCCTGGCAGACGATATTCAAGAAGCTGTACCTTTCGCCGTTGTTGTCCTTCACCTCCAGAACATCGATCCCGATCTCGTAATTGAAACAGAACTTCTTGGGAAGCGCTACCTTGTGTGTCTGCGGTAACGGTTTGTGATGCTCACAAGACTCACAACGGTAAAGTTTGGCTGCCTCAGTATATTCGGACGACATCCAGGAAAGTTTCATAAGTTTGATCAACGCGCGATTCGGAACATGACCGAACTGCCTGTGGAGTCGCCGAATGGCGATCCTCACTCGGAGCGGAATCTTGAGCCAAGAGTTCCTTCGTTCACCTTCTAATTTCGGCTCTCCTGGGAGCGGCAGCTTCTCAAGGATTTCTTGCCCTTCATCCCTGAGGTCTTCCTGAGCGGTAACAGCCACATCTTCGTCGTCGTTCACTGCATCAAGGGTCGATCCTGCCATTTCCGCTGCGGCTTCAGCTGGAAAGGCGGTGGCGGTAAGGCGGTCCAGGCGAACCTGGTGTCCAAGATCGCGTAAGAAGTCGAAAAACCGCGAAGGTAACTCAGCGGAATTGTTGAGCGCATCACTTGAGCCTGGCTCTGACTCCAGGAAGGAGTTCAGGGCGTTGGTAACCTCGAGGTTTGAGCATGTGGACTCCTGACCAAACGTAATTGCAACCGAACCATTGTTTTTTTCGTCGCTTCCTCCAAACAGTTACGGATGATGCTAATATTATCGGCGGTGGTGTTAGCAACGATGAGATCAAGATTGCACTCGATGATCTCCTTTTCCATGCCCTCGTCCCAGGCTGGACG